ATGGAGGTTTTCAAATAATGAGTGATGCAGATATTTCCAATCTCATTCAACCAGAAGAGCAAGAGAATAAAGCTGAAAGTGGAGAAGAAGAAATTATAAATTGCATTAATCACAACACGGCCCTGAATTCTGCTGACACTTTGTTGGAGTACATCGACCAATGGGAATTCGAGTATAACGACATAATAGCTCTTAGAAAAATTCAAACTGTTATTAAAAAATCATTAAAAGATTCATGCAAATAAAAACCAAAATCACAGATTTTCTTAATAATAATGAGCATTAAACATGTTCAAATAATCATCTGCCTTAGAAATGTATAATATGTTGTATTTTAGAAATAAATAATTATAGTTCAGATTATCCATGCCACCTCTCCCCACCATTAGCCCGGATAATTGGGAGTTTACTGTAGTTATAAAAAGACCATAATATTCTGTGATCTGACTTCCTAAGGAATTTTTATATCCTAATTAATAATTAATTTCAATCATGTAATTATACACTGTTTTTACAGAGGTTTCTTCATAGATGAAAATAAGTATTTCTGAAGCATTTTTATGAGATTCAAATCTTAAATCAGAATTTTATAAAGAACAGGTTTTTAGTTATAAATATATAAAAGCCTCATTTTATTTAAATTCACTGTTTGTGACAAATACAGGAAATTTTTGGTAGGGTAGTTGGTATCATCAACTCCTTAGCCTCTGTTTTAGATATTGACAAATGTGTTATTAGGCTACATAATGTTAATTTACAAGTCATTGTCAAACTACTAAGCATTGAGTTTATAGCTTGTATGTAAGCTGATTTATCTTGTTGCTGAATATATAAAGTAAGTATATATGTATTTTAATTTATGTAACAACATATAAAGCATTATTTTATTATTCTTAATAATTGTCTAATTTTAATAACAATTATTTCAAATTTTCTAGAAAATGCCTCAACAAACTTTTCAAAATCAATTAAATAGTTTCTGCTACATCTGTGGAGAGTATGCACCTTTGAAAGGGATAGAAAGAAGAATTCATCCATCACAAAAGTTTTGTTACTTATTTTACAACTGACAACTACAATGTTGTTGACTTCTGCAACAACATTGGTGGCTTAATAAAAGCTTTAACTTCAGATATGATCCACAGGACTGGAATAGTATGAAGGGAATGGATACCTTCCATGTTAGCTGATATTGTTGGAATATGAGGTCTGTTCAAAAAATACACGGACTGACATCATAAAACAAAATGTACTTTATGTAAAAGTTACATGTCTGGGGTCCCTTCAAAGTACTCTCCTTCCTAACGATGTTTCCACTTGTTGAAACAGTCCTGGTATGCTTCTTTTGTAATGTCCTTCAGCACCTTTGTCGCATTTGCCTTAATCTCGGGAATTGTCTCAAATCTTCTTCCTTTCAAGGGCCTTTTGAGTTTGGGGAACAAGAAAAAGTCACAAGGAGCAAGGTCAGGTGAGTAGAGAGGTGGGGAAGAACAGTGATTGAATGTGTGGCCAAAAACTCAAGAGTTCTGAGGGCTGAATGCGCTGGAGCATTGTCATAATGGAGAAACCAGTCGCCACTCCTTCACATTTCTGGCCTTTTGTGACAGATGACATCCCTCAAATGTTTCAGAACTTCAATGTAGTAAGTCTGGTTCACTGTGGAGCCTTGGGGGAGATACTCATGGTGAACAACATCCTTAGCATCAAAGAAAACTGTCAGCATCACCTTGACATTGGATCAAACTTGGCAAGCTTTTTTGGGTTTGGGGACCACTTGAAACATGCTGTAAGCTTCGTAGCAACATCACTGTAAGCCGTGTTGAGCATAGCAAATGTTTCAGTTGCAGATTTTCCAAGTTTAACACAAAAATCAAGTCATTCATTCTGAAATCCGACAAACGAAAAAATCGCACTTCACTAAAAACCGCATAGCTAATCAACAAATAAAGATATCTGTAATTGTGAAATGGCTTTATCACCAGAAGATCTGTACAAACCTAGCAACACCAAGCAGATTCCCCTGGAACCAACTGGAGCTGCACAATTCAAACAGTCCACGTATTTTTTGAACAGACCTCGTATTACTAGAGACAAAGACAGTCACCACAAAAGACAAAAATGATTTTGTTTATATGCAAGATTTTATTAATTTTTTGTAGACTAAGTATTATAGTGATTAAGTTATTTCATGAATATACTCAAAATAAAACTTAAAATATTAAATTTTAATATGTAATTGGTTCAGACCATTATTTTCTAGGAATTATCACATTCACAGATTCCAAAAATACTTGTCAATCAACAACTTTATTTCACCTAGATGCACTTCAGAAATTACAATATTAATTTAAGAATATTCGAGAAACCTTAAGATTCTGATTACTCAAACTATCAACTAAACATAAATTACAAATTAGCAAAAAAAAAAATAAAATTTGCAACAAGTTTCATAGCTTTTTTCTCCAGAAATTTTTTTTATAGAACAGTATTACCAATAATGTTAATCAACTTGTTCTCAAATATTCAGTACTAATTAGTTAGTAACCACTCCATATAAAACAAATTGGCAGCACTGTGTTACCTTATTCACACTATTTTCAATGAATTACATTTGTTGACTGTTACTGAGAATTTTGTTTGTGATACCTCATTCAATTCTCGTATTTGCTTAATCCCAACAAATACTACTTAACATTAGTATTTGTTGCCATCCCTGGGTTCCTGTGTTCCATTGTCATGTGACTACTACTATGGAAAAGAACCTCATTATTAGAATAAATTTTGTAATGTTGTGCAGTGATTATACTTATGAGAAATTTTATTTATTTGTCTAAGTAGAATCTTAATTTTATGCTTTATTCAAGTTATATTACACTCCCTCATTATCTAAAATCTTCTGTCTCTGCATTAGATTTCTGATTATAGTAAAATTTAGCATAGAAAATCACTCTGTTTTAAAATTTTTCTTCTATTCTTTTTTGTTACATTCAAGTCATGTTTTAGGCAAGTCTTACTGTATTAACAGTAATAATAGTATAATAATGGAAAAGTTAAAAATGTATGAAGAAAGCCTGAAAAGAGACTTTATTAATGTTAAAGGTGTGGAAAATATCCTCAATATGGAAATGGCTGATGTGGAGAAATTAGGAAGATGAATATCGGAATACTTAAATTTCAATAAACTTAATGTCTTTTTAATGATTTTCAAAAACTGTATAGAAAGCACTACTGGAGATAAAAAACATAGCCATTTGAATTTAGATTTTAGAAACAGCATTCAAATACAATTAACATTTAATAGGAATTCAGAATATATTTCATGAGATTTGAACCCTGATAATGAACAAGAAGTTAGTAGAAAAATTGATTATACTCCAAGGTAATATGGCACTGTGATAATATAGCGTGTTGATAGTTTATTTTAATCATGCAACCAATATTCAATCTTCAAAACAACAATATAAAAATAAAACCATAAATTAATTTGTAGTTAGATAATTTATAACTATGGGAATTATTACTCATGCCAATTTTAAAAACTTTACAAGTATTATTATTTATATTTTAAAAATGTCTTTCCATAAATAACACACACATTTTAATATTGTCATTTCATATTTTTCTCGCAATTTTTATAAGTACATAGATCTTAATTTTGCTATAAATTTATTTTGCCAAAATAATTTATTTAAATGTAAAATTTTTGCCACCCCAAATTTCACTTAAAATAATCCATATTAACTCTAGATTCATCTCATCAACTCAGTGAGTCCAATTAAAATTAACTTTTGAAACAAACTATAAATATTAAAATCATATTTTATAAATGGTAATCTCTCTCTCTTGAATATTACAATCATAAAATTTAAAATTTTAAGCATAAAAAAATTAAGAGCTAAAAATTAATGAAATTGAATTTAATTATATAAATTAATGTTGTGATGAGGTTCCACTTCCAATATATATTATTTTAGAAGTAGTTTTGGCATCACTATTTTTATAGCACTGTTTTTGACAAAATATACATAGGAGTGATATTTTGCTCAAAGCAGTGCTAATTGTTACACAAAGTATTTCATCTAATTATTTATTAATATTTTAAAAAAATAATTTATAATTTTTTTAAAAAGTGACAGTTTTAATAATATCTAATTAATTTAGTTATAATCATAAAAACAAATCCAAAATTTAAATCTGCAATTCCAGAAAAGTAGAACATCTTATTAAATATGCCATCCAAGTCATCCAATTTAATAATTAGAAGTAAATTAATTTAATCTAGAATGTTTTGAAAGAAAAGACTGACACACAGCAGGATCAAACCTGCAATTCCTGCTGTCCATGTGCATTGTCAATTACCATTAACCCAGACTTTCATCTGATCTTTACTTTCAGACCAAATTATTAAATTTAATGTGCGAGGGCAGCTTAACTGCCTATCTCTAGTTAAAATAACTAATATTTTATTAATTAATTGGCCATATTGTAACCTGATACTAATTAAATTAAATAATAGCTAAATTTTTAACATTTATTAGATTTGATTTCATATTTATAAATCAATTAATTAAACTTCTAACCTAAATATTCACAAAATGCAATAATAATCCTTAGCAGAAATTAACACAAAACAGATTAAAAAGTTATTTCAGCACAAACCTTTCATAGTTAAACTGTTTCAAATGTGGAAACTTATAATTGAACAACTTTTAACAATAATAAAAATTAAAAAAATAAAATTAAAATTTAGCAATAATAATAATCATGTTCATGTTTAAAACAGCTTAAACTGCATCAAGAAATCTGATTTTTTTAATTATTTTATTCTTTTTTTTGAATAATGAACAGAAAATATAATATCACAAAAACACAAATCTCTAATACTTACAAATGATTAAAAATAATAAACAGAAAGCATTTGTTTGAAATAGGATAAAACTTTTTTAAAAGTTACACTTAAATTTTCAATAATAATTTTATTAAATTTTAGAAATACTTACTCTTTCTTTTTCTGTCAATAGATTCAGTATCTATTCCTGTGAAGAAATACAAATAAAACTTTTTAATATATTTTTTAAAATTTAGTAAATGTAGAATTTAATTTATTATTATATTAATTTTAAAACATTCTTTCATAAAATGTGCAAATAAATTTTTACTATAAAAAGTAAATATTAACAGGAAAATTTATATTTATAGGCCAAAAGTTTGAAATAGTTCAATATTTCCATATCTAATTTTATTTAATATTAAAAATTGTATTGGTACTGTACATATCTAGAAAAGCAATTGATCAGTAATATGTTCTAGAAAAGAAGACTATTGCCATGTAATTTAATGTAATTCAACCATTTACAAATGTAATATATATATGTGTGTGTATATATATATATATATTCTAAAAATACCAATTATTGAATACTATATTTTGATTTTTTTGCAATAGAAATTAATCTTGATCTTTTATTGACTCCCCTCCTTTTATTTTTGCTAATAGTTAATAATAATCAAACAAAACTAGTAAGCCAGTACTAATCAACATATTGTTTTCCTAGAAAATACTTATTTAGTGTAAAAATTTACATCCTGAACTATCATATACATAACTCATTGGGCTAATTTTAATTAACTGTTTTTACAGTCAAGTTGAAAATTGATATTGAATACTTTAGGAACCTTTGGTTCTAAAACCATAAATATTTTTTAAACAATTTATTAGAATTTTTAGAAAACTTCTAACTAATAATTGGACAATTTTTAATTAATTATTAGAATGTCTATTTAAAAACAGACATTCTAATAATTAATAAAAAATTGATTTTATTAGATTTAATATTAAGAGAAAGACAATAATATTTACCAGAACGTCTCTTTCGCGGAATGCTATCATCTCTTGATTCTCTGCCATCATCTTTTCTTTTACGTTCACTTGATCGTTTTTTCTCTGATCTTGAATGTGAACTTGATCTTGATTTTGATGATGATTGTTTTGAAGCATCATCTTTCCCTGATTTCTTATTTTTATCTTCAGTTTTTTGTGAAGCTTTATCTTTTAGTTTTTTGTTTTTCTTGTCACCATCTTCACTCTCCTTAGCTGCATCTTCTGTTCCTCCCTCACCATCACTAGCATCACCACCTCCAGCTTCTTTTCCTTCTTCATCACTTAAGACATCATCATCATCACCTCCAACTTCATCAATATATTGTATATCATCTTCATCATCATCAATATCATCGTCGTCGTCATCATCACTATCCTCTTCTGCCATACTGTTCTCATCATTTTCGTATTCCTGCTTTTCAGTTTCTTCTAATGCTTCAGCAGAATCCAATGCAATATCCTCTCCATCTAAATAAATTGAAAAATGAATAATAAAGTAATCACATTATTTATATTTATTTTTGTTATGCAAATCAATAATTAATACAAAATAATAATCAATATATCTCTAATTGGGTATAACTTTGTTATGCAAATTCATTTGCATAACAAAGTTATATCCAATTATTATTACCAAAATTATACCCATTTAGAGATATATTGATTATTACCATATTTACTTGCATATAAGATGAGGGTTTTATTCATTTGTCACAGTTTCAAATTCCTAGGTTGTCCTATACGAACAAACGAAAGATTATTTGCATTTTTACAAATAATTTTTGTGAACCATGTATTTGCATTTTTTACCGGATGCTTACCCTCTTGTATTTAAAAACATAAGTATTTTATCTTGACTTGCTCTTGTATATTATCAGGAATAAAGATGAATAGCAATAGGAAAAGCAAAGCTTTTAAATTAAATTCCAGATTGAAATTCCAAAATCACACAGGAGTACAATATAAGTTTTAATCCATTCCCATATGAAAACAGATGATTATTCAGAAATCAGAGTATGAAGAAACTCTTAAGTGTAATTAACAGAGAGTGGATTTGACTGTTAAGATATTGGCAAAAAAGGGTTCTCAATTGTCCAGCTTTAAATGAACAAATTATGTTGTTGATTTTACAGGATTTTTCCTTAAAGTTTAAAATGCCAGTAATTTTTGTGGGACAATGTGTGCATTNTGAGATGCACAGTTTTCTATATTTTGTATGTTTTGTACAAATGTTCTGCATCACACAACATATACTGTAAACATATACTTGAATTTCTCTTAATTCAAGTATATGTTTACAGATAGGAAACGGTGTGACCAAGGAGATTACAGTTTCTTTGAGCATGACAGAGTAATTTAAAATAACCTAGAAACATATATCATAGATTATTATGACCATAAAATGCAAAGGTTTCTGATGCATCCATATATTGTATTGTTAGTTTCCGAAAAAGATGAATATAAGAGAGATAGATGAATTAAATGTTATTCAAAGAGAGCTTTGGAAACAGTCCTTACTCTTATCTGCTTCCAACACTTTGCTGAAGCAGTTATAGACAGGATATCCACATCAATTGTCACAGTAAGAGTTGCAATACCTTGTATTTTTCTCATTATCCTCTTAGCATACAGAAGGTATGTTTGTCAGATTACACTGAATTCAATATTAAGTTAATAAGAGAATTAGACTAGATCTGGAATGAATTCAAATGTTAATGTTCTTAAATAAAAATCTTGATTAAATGTTTTTAAGTTTTTAAAATGTCCAGAGACTTTAGATGCTAGTGTTTGGACCAAGAATGTTATAGTATAAAGGAGGACATGATGTCACAAGGCTGAAGCCAGAAAGAGGAAGAATTTTCTGGAAGTCACCACTGTGGTGCTACCCTCTTTTTGGAAGACATGTGAGAGTTTTTGACTTAGTTTTACATATTATTATGAGAAATAGCCATCTGTGTTTGGAAGTGCAGTAACAAGCAAAAGAAGGATGATGGAGGAAGTAGAATAACATTTCACTGGTTTAAACAAACATCACAAAACATTTGTAAAGCCAAACAACTACTGTTTGACTCTACAAATTTATTGGGTTTTGATAATATATATATATATATGAGAATCTAGAGACATGAAACATGAGTCTTTTCTTAAATTGGAAAGATTTATTTAGAATTTGATTTAATTATTTAATAAAAATTAAAATATTATTTAGTTGAAAAAACAAAATATAAAAATTTCACCCTTTCGTGGGAAAGAGATAGAAAAAGGGAAATAAAACTTTCTTTCCATTTGTCAACTTCCCAGGGCAAGATCTTATCTCTTATGTTGATGAACATCTGCAAGTGAAACTCATCTCTTGCATCTCATCACATGTAACAAATTAACACCCAATTGGAGGAGATTTTGGGATAAGAGTAAACAACCTGTTCTTGAGGCTCTCTCCTCAAAGTTCCCCTCATCTAGTCCACCCTCATCAGCTCTCATCTCCAGCCTCTCCTGTCTCTCCACTGAGCCCACCAATCAATGAAGTTTCTCATTCTTCATCCCAACAATAGAATTTAGCCTGTGACCAAAGACATCTGTCTGTTATCAAGAGGTATTATGCACTAAATATTGTAAACTCTCTCTCTTGGTCTATTAGAGGCTTATTTAGCTGGTTTATCAACATAGATATATTTTAATCTCTTTTGTATTTAATCACTTTATTTTATTCATTAAACTTTTATTTGTTAACTTGTCTTCAATTAATTAATTACTAAATAATTTGTCACTAGAGGGATGTGTTAGGTGCCATCTATTATTAAATTTAATAATTAAAATACTATTTATTAAATAATTTAGAATATTCTGGAAGAAAAGAATTATCCCAGGGCATGACTTGAACCCGCAACTCTCACTTAGGCCAAGACTCCACTACCATAAAAACGGGTGTAAAAACCTTCGCCATAAAAACTTTTAATCACATGACCTATTTGCGTTTGTGTCTGGACTGTGGTGGAGGTCCAGCTAGCAAAGTTTTTACGGCGACGGTACTCTCGAAGTTATAAAGACAATGATTATATTCTATGAGTTTTTTCTGTACTATACTTACAAATGTAGTAAAAATAATATCTTTACTTTCATATATTAACTTTTATTATCGTATTATTAATTAAGATAACATACAGCACTCATGAGCTTAGCTTTTTTCATTATATACTCCTCTAAATTGAAGGATTTTCCTTTGGCCGTCCATATCGCGTGTTTTAGACATCCATTATTATAATCGGGATACTTCTTATCGTAGATACACGAATACTTTTGGATGTTTTCGATAAATCTTTCCAGATCTATTCTAGAGTAGCCACAAAGGAACGTACACAAAAGCTCGTTTTTCGCCATTTTCGCACTATGTCACAATGACCTAGATTTCACTGACTTCTGATTGGTGGATAGTACCATTTTACAGCTGTATTCATGTTGAAAGTTGAACACTGCTCAATGCTGGTTTTACGATCTGCTCGGGCGTAAAATCACGGTCACATGATTAAAAGCTTTTACAGTGAGGAAGTTTTACACGCATTTTTATGCTAGTGGCGTCTTGGTCTTACCATGTGGATGCATTACCAGTTGCAATACCCAAGCCTCCAGTCCTATCTCCTCCTCAATATGATATAACTATCCTTGGATACATATGGTACCAACTGAGGATGCCTACAGTGCACTTGTCCTATAAAATCCAACACAAAGCACTCAGCTGTCTATTGCTCAACCCTGACAAGGTATATATATGTGAGAATCGTGGGTTGAGTTTATTCTTCTGAACCTTTTTTGCAGCATTGAACTCAAGAAGCCCACTCACTTTGTCACTGGTTGGCTATAATGTTTTAAATCTATTTCTCTCCAAGATTATGAGATCTTTTTGACATCAGGCTCCTGACACCAGTTAGGATAATTCAAAGTTGCATTCTAAATTGTGACTATAAATTTCTATTCATAAAAATACATTCAAATAGGAGGGTTTGTAATTCAGGTGGGGAGAGTCGTGAATCCGTCANGATAATATAGCGTGTTGATAGTTTATTTTAATCATGCAACCAATATTCAATCTTCAAAACAACAATATAAAAATAAAACCATAAATTAATTTGTAGTTAGATAATTTATAACTATGGGAATTATTACTCATGCCAATTTTAAAAACTTTACAAGTATTATTATTTATATTTTAAAAATGTCTTTCCATAAATAACACACACATTTTAATATTGTCATTTCATATTTTTCTCGCAATTTTTATAAGTACATAGATCTTAATTTTGCTATAAATTTATTTTGCCAAAATAATTTATTTAAATGTAAAATTTTTGCCACCCCAAATTTCACTTAAAATAATCCATATTAACTCTAGATTCATCTCATCAACTCAGTGAGTCCAATTAAAATTAACTTTTGAAACAAACTATAAATATTAAAATCATATTTTATAAATGGTAATCTCTCTCTCTTGAATATTACAATCATAAAATTTAAAATTTTAAGCATAAAAAAATTAAGAGCTAAAAATTAATGAAATTGAATTTAATTATATAAATTAATGTTGTGATGAGGTTCCACTTCCAATATATATTATTTTAGAAGTAGTTTTGGCATCACTATTTTTATAGCACTGTTTTTGACAAAATATACATAGGAGTGATATTTTGCTCAAAGCAGTGCTAATTGTTACACAAAGTATTTCATCTAATTATTTATTAATATTTTAAAAAAATAATTTATAATTTTTTTAAAAAGTGACAGTTTTAATAATATCTAATTAATTTAGTTATAATCATAAAAACAAATCCAAAATTTAAATCTGCAATTCCAGAAAAGTAGAACATCTTATTAAATATGCCATCCAAGTCATCCAATTTAATAATTAGAAGTAAATTAATTTAATCTAGAATGTTTTGAAAGAAAAGACTGACACACAGCAGGATCAAACCTGCAATTCCTGCTGTCCATGTGCATTGTCAATTACCATTAACCCAGACTTTCATCTGATCTTTACTTTCAGACCAAATTATTAAATTTAATGTGCGAGGGCAGCTTAACTGCCTATCTCTAGTTAAAATAACTAATATTTTATTAATTAATTGGCCATATTGTAACCTGATACTAATTAAATTAAATAATAGCTAAATTTTTAACATTTATTAGATTTGATTTCATATTTATAAATCAATTAATTAAACTTCTAACCTAAATATTCACAAAATGCAATAATAATCCTTAGCAGAAATTAACACAAAACAGATTAAAAAGTTATTTCAGCACAAACCTTTCATAGTTAAACTGTTTCAAATGTGGAAACTTATAATTGAACAACTTTTAACAATAATAAAAATTAAAATATTATTTAGTTGAAAAAACAAAATATAAAAATTTCACCCTTTCGTGGGAAAGAGATAGAAAAAGGGAAATAAAACTTTCTTTCCATTTGTCAACTT